CTACAGCATAGTCCTACAGCATACTCCTACATCATACTCCTACAGCATACTACTACATCATACTCCTACAGCATACTCCTACAGCATACTGCAGAGTATTGGCAGGTGTATTTCTGGACAAGTGTCAGAGTTGTGATGACGTCTGTGCGTCAGTTACAGCGAGCGTGTTTCTGACGGCGCCACTCACCGACAGCCAACAGCTTGGTGCCTCTGGCGACTTGTCTTTGTGATGCTCTCAGTGTGTGACCTCATCCTTGGAGCATGACTTCAGCAACAAAGCACACCCTGGCAGCCTGATACGTTCTTCTGGCAACGCTTTTCTTGCACTTTTTTAGAAGTGAGGAGAGTTTTGTTGTGCCACTCTCTCTCCAGCGCAGCACATTTGGTGAGATAGTTGTAGAGGAAATGCAGAGCATGTCTGTGGAGTGAGTCACGCTGTTTACGGGTAAAAGCGGCGGCCAGAGGCCGTCCTGATCTAACGTTTCCTGGAAAATCCCGGTTTTTTCGCAGGAGAGGAAGGAAAGTCCAGAGAACCTTGGAAACGTTTGGCGTGACCGACCAGAACCTTTGAAACAGGAAGGGAGGAGGACCACCTAAACAAGATGCTCTCCAGTAGCTGGTGTCGAAAAATGTCAAGAATGCAAGAGGAATAAAAATACACTTACATCCAGACAGGTGTTTACTGCAACATCTGGTGATAGTGCATGATACGTGCACACGTGTGACTGCATGTTTGTTTGTCCTGCTGACCACTTTCAATTTGAGTCACACGGACTCAGCAACCGCCTTCAGTCCCAGTTCAAATTAAAGGCCTGGCATTCCATGAAGGAATGCAGCCCCCCCCCCCCCCGAGATTTGAACTGAAAACAGTTTCATGTTGAGAAATAAAACAGTTGTTGGTCAAACGGATAAAAACTCATCTCAAGCTGCCTCTAAATGACTCAACCTCTGCCTAATTTACCTTTGGTCTAATTAGCTGAAGCTGTTCATGCGCCTCAGGTCGTCTGCTTACACACTTCAAATAAAATCACTGATTTCAAGTCAATAATCAATAATCAACATCTTTTTCTGTTTTCCCCCATAAGAACAAAAACACATCACAGGGAACATGAGTCACCCGTCAGCCACAACTTTCACATTTCACCACTAAATAGTTTCTGCACAACTCCGCCTCTTTTCTTGCAGCCGCCACAGTCCAGTGAAACGGACTAAACACTTTAAACGTTTGTTTTTATTGACTTTAAACTTTTGTTTTTATTGACTTTAAACGTTTGTTTTTATTGACTTGTTTATTTCCATGGGGAGGGGATTTCTCCCAATGACTCAGCTGCTGCAGCCCCCCCCCCCCCCCC